TTTGAAAACTTCGTTTTTTTTTTTTTTTTTTTTTTTTTTTGGTCCGCGTTCGGCCCGAACGGCCGGCTACCAGGTGGGTCGCCCCGGTCACCTTGTTTGCCCGGGCTGTATGTATGCATGTATGTATGTACGATGATTCGAGAGTCATGAAAGCAAAACACATCATGGAGATGCAAAGCAAACTCGCAGAGATGAATGCTGTTCATGGACAAATGCAATTGATAGTATTAAAAATATTATTCCACAGTAGGTCGGCGTCCCCAACACATTTCGACGGCCGCCATGCCGTCATCCTTAGGGGGTCACCCACCTTCTTTCCTATACTAACCATTCAAGCCGCTAAGTCAAACCCCCACTTCGGTCTGCTAATTCCTACCAATCTCCGGATAGAGGAAGGAGACCAGACCCCCACTTCTTTGCGTCTTGCTTTCGTGTCCAGCATGTCTTGCTGCACTTCGTGCCTACCTCTACCACACGGCACACTGGTTCTAATCAGTCTGTACCCTACAGGGCCGGTACCATTCGTTGGGCCAAGATTCTTCAGTCCTTGTACTTGAATTAGCAAAATCGTGGGGCAGAGGTCCCCTGCTCGGAAAACTCCTTGCTCCAGGACTTCTAGAAGATACTAGTGGCCACTGTAGCTATTGTCAAACCAGTGCTACAAATCAAACAAGGCAAACGTGGAGGCAGCAAATCCCTGGTCTGAAATCCTGGGGCAACTCCTCCTCTCAGAAAAAACACAGTCACCGAAGAAACAAATAAAACAAAGGAAAATAAAGCCGAGAAAACAGCCCTGCTCGGGCTGCCTGCCATGCAAGGACCATGGAAGGTTGCCAGCAGGGCCACCCGAGTGGCCCTGTTTTCCCAAGCAGCACAGGCCCGCCCGGGTCACCTTGTTTGCCCGGGCTGCCTGGCCATGCGAGGACCCTAGAAGGTCCCAGCAAAAAAAAAAAAAAAAAAATCCAAAAAATTGGCAAAAATTTCGCAAAATTGAAAATTTTCGAAAAACAAAAATCGTACGCAGAAAAATAACCTGAACAATTGTTGCGTCAAGGTCACATCGGTTTGAACTTTTTTGGGCGTTTGTGTTAATGATAGTTAGTTTAGAGAGAGAGAGAGAGAGAGAGAGAGAGAGAGAGAGAGAGAGACTCTAAGAGAGAGAGAGAGAGAGAGAGAGAGAGAGAGAGAGAGAGAGAGAGAGAGAGAGAGAGGGTTGACAAACCGGGAGATTCACAATTGCGTTTTGCTGTTTTCTCTCCTTTTCCCATTTTCTTCCTCTTAGTTTTGAGCTTCGATGATTGTTTAGGAGATAGAGCTTTGAATATTGTGTACGATTTTTGTTGGGCGTTCGTGTTAATGATAGTTAGTTGAATTAGGGTTCCCTCTCTAATTAGTATACTGAGAGTTTTGTTACCTTTCTCCTGTTTTGGGCTTGTTGGGCTGTTTTCAAATACTGTGGGTCGCACTTTGCTTGGCCGGAGAACCTTGCTCAACTCGACAGCTGCGACACTCTTGAGAGGGACGCTAGGCCCGGTTCCCAGCTCATCATA